TGTATCTGATGTTTACATAGTAAATACCACAGTACTCCTTACGTAATGTTTGCATGAAATTGTTGTTCTCTGCAAACGACTTACAGCGTTGAGGCCTCAGCCTCTAAAAGTTTTCTTTAGAGTTTTCTTTTAACCTGACGAAAACTTTAAGCTTAAAGCCCCTTAGGTACACCAGGTGACCTATGCGTTAAAACAACTGAGTTCTGTCACTTATTACACCACCACAATGGTATTTAGAATGATGAGCCCGTTCACTTATCACTCCATTTTAGCTAATAATTAAAAGCACTTAGTACACTTAATCAGTAATTTAATTGCACTTGTTACTAATACCCACGATCTGTACTTTTATTGGATATATACTGATGCATCTTGCTAATATCTCTTATGTTCCTTTTCAGACTAGTCAATCCAGGTAAAGCCTTTCCTGGTGGGTATCCATTATCTCTTACAAATCTTTTGGGGTATGCTCCGCCCCCTGCCATCCCTGTACGGCAGGATCTGCGAAGCTCTACACGTCAAAGTACCTGGGCTGATGACGGGGCCCGCACCAAGGATTTTTAAATTTTGTTATCTATGGAATCGTTAAATACTATTAGATTAAACTATTTTCCTTCCTACACGGTCGTCTCTGGAGTCTTTCTGGTAGAACTTAGTTTCACCTAGAAAATCAACAGAACATGTCATTTGACCAGAGACACTGCAACGTTTTTATTTTCTGTACTAATAAAGACTTCACTGAAAAAATGTCCTGTTTGCTGCTGATTCAGGGTCTGTTCAGTATCTTGCTCCGTTAGAATCTCCTATGTATCTCCAAGTGTCCATTAAAATGCTCACGTGGGGCCCAGCTTGATCTCGTTATGAGAATGTCTGGGGACAACCATGAGAAATTTTGGGCTATATGTGAGCAGGAGCGTAGACGTATCAAGGTGGGAACAAACTGAGAATCACATCTTTAACCCAACCCAACACCTCAAGAAGGAGGAGGTCAAAGTAGGGGTCAATGGGGCGCTCCAACACTGACAACAAGCCACTGCATTTAATGTTAAAATGGCTAAAAAGTCACCCCAAAAACAGAAAGAAAAAAAAATCAGCATGTACATGTTTACTGCATATGCAGAGAACTCATTAAAAGTATATAACAACTGAAAATGTTTCACTAGGTTTGCTTTTGTTATCGATTGTACTTCAGACATTAAAAGAGCACAGATCAGAGGAATATGGGGTGGGTTTTAGAGTGGGCGTGGCCTTGCGTACGGCACACTATCACATTCAAGCACTAAAAGTTTAAGAGGTTGTCTATAGCTGTGTATATGCAAGCCCAACTTCTGCTAACTAGTCCTAGGTTTTTCTCCTGCTGTCTGAACTGTGCTGAACCACATCACTGTATCTCCTCTCTGATCAATACACACTGTGCAATATATCACAACAATTACTGTAATGACACTTTGACTATGCACTTTACACTATAATACTGATGCAACTCAGAGTTAATTTGTCTATATGTGCTTTTAGTTTACCTCATACCACTCAGTGCCTGCTGTATTGTAAATACAATGAATCTGTCTCATTTGCAATGTAAATATGTGAATAGATATACTTCTACTTTTATTTTATTTCTCTTGTACTTTAACTTATGTCTAGATTTATTTCTATTTTCCTGCATGGTATAATTAACTTTATGTGCAATTATATGTCTTGCTACTGTAACACTGCAATTTCCCTCCGGGATGAATAAAGATCTATCTATCTATCTATCTATCTATCTATCTATCTATCTATAACTGCTTTAAAATATCTGCTGAAAGACTAAAAGACACTAAACCTCAAATAGTGATCAAAAACATTTTGACAATTCTAAACAATATGACAGCAGTATGCTAATTAACCCTTTAAGATTGGAAAATGTATTAACATAGTCACGACTCAGGATTTAATTCTGATGAAACTTCACAGGCTTACATAGTACAACATTTTAAGATCACCTGTCAATTTTGGCACATGTTTCTTACTAGGGGCTGCTGTAACTGCCAAAGAGCTGTTTCTTGAAATAATAATAAGAGGATCACTATGGACAATATAATAGCTTGTAAAGTATTGCTGCCATCAGCCAATCAAATTTTTAATTATTTTCCTAAATCCAATATTTCCAAAATAAACTGAATTTGTTTCTTTTTGCTTTGAGAGCTGGTCTTGGGGTTTCGTTTTTAATCAAGAGCGCTCTGCAGCACACATTAAACAAGAGAAGTGTAGGCAGTCGTTTCACTTTTGCAAATTGCTGGGTACATCACCTCAGCCACTTCTATTAGTCAATAGTTGGACAATCTTGTGGCCAGTAATATAAGTAGATGTAAGTAATCAATATACATCTGTATGTGACAGTGAAGCTTTTAACAGCTGATGTAGATGTCTTTGTGATGAACAGGTTTGGGCCTAATTTAAGAGGGTGTGTTCCCAAATGTGTGTGACTTGGCTTTGATCCCACAACAGCTTTTATGAATCTTTAATTGAAAGATTTTTAAATAAATTAAGAAAAGTATATTTCAAAAGCCTTTAATATTCTCAGACTGATACTTTAAGATAAGAACAACATGAATGCATGCTTCATGGAGTCTTGTGTGCAGTTTCAGGTCAAGTTTTTTGTTCTGCCACAACACACACAGTTGCAAAGAGAGCAGTGTCTAGGCTCACTCCTGTGGTCTCAGTATGAGTTAGCACAGACTTTGGGCAGCCGTTGTGTTCTGTGTCAACGAGACTCATCCAACTCAGAAAACTAGATTCTACAGATGAAGTGCAGCACTACTTACTGCTGCACTAATCTGTCATCTAAACTTCACATGCAAACAATAACACTAAAACAGCCTCATTAGATGATAAAGTGTTGAGAACCATCTGCTGCCATTTATGTGTTCTTGGAGGTGGGTAGTAACTAGTTTCACTACCCATTCCTGATGTTGCAGTGCCTCTTGAATATGGCATAACATGATTATATTGCTTGGGCAATATAATATAATATAAATAGCTGTTAAACCCTTAAAATCCCAGGCTTATTACAGACTAAGGCTTATTATTCAGTAACTACAGGGGCTTCAATGCAAACTGGCTCAGCTACTCTGATTATAGAGGTGTGTAATAAATCTTTGGGCCTGCCAGTGGGCCCTGGCCATGTAAGGGCTTTAATATATTATTATTAATATTGTTGTTCTTTTTATTATTGGTTGTTGCTGTATATGCCTATAACTATGTAAGTATGCCTACACATACAGGCATATACTAAAGTTTGAACACCCCTGGTCAAATGACTAATATTATCCTTAATGTTTTACTGATTTTCTAAGTGAAATAATACACCTTTGACAGACAATGCCTTTAAATATGGATTTTTTTTCTGCATATTTTGGTGCACAATTTTTATTTTATTACTGATGTATTGTGGGAAAAAATCTAAAACATAAATTTGTCAACTTTTGCACACAACACTTTTAGCGATTCATTTTTTATTTATTTTTATTTTATTTTTTTATTTTCAAATAGAACATACAATGTCTACATGGCCATGGGTGCATAGAATGCAGAACATCTTGTTACCCAAAATATGCAGAAGTGATCTGGAAAAATGGTGTATGACAGTACATTTTTATTTCTTCCCTTTCCCTTTTATGTTTTATTTTTTTTCTTCTCAATTTATTAAATTCAGCAAATAAACAGTAATTGTGTTTTAAAAAGTGTATTCTCAGTAGAGGATGTGATCGCTTATTTTCACCTAGAAAATCAACAGAACATTTCATTTGATCAGATACACCGCAACGTTTTTATTTTCTGTACTAATAAAGGCTTCACTGAAAAAATTAATGTTGAAGAACTCTTTGTTTCATAGCTTTAGATGTTTTTAGAAAGCAATTTGCTGTGTGATAACAATTCCCCTTCTTCAAAACACAAACTTTACTGACAGCAGTTTTATTACATTCCAAAGGACCCCCACCATCTCTGCTAAAAGAAGTCATGCAGATGCAGGTTTAGGTGGAACCTGGTCTATAACTATTAGATGGAGTAAACACTGAACACTGAAGTTTGTTTGACAACTGGCATGAATCTGGTCTGTATATTCAGATACACTATCTGTATGTCACATCTGTGCCTGGGGATTCCACTCCTAACCTCTCAAGGTCACTGTTGCCACAACACTGGGTAGGTCCACAGACCTGTAACCTAAGAAGTCTTTTTATTATCTGCACATCTCCTGATTTTCTATCTCTGTGCTTTCCCAGTTGTTGATCCTGCTTTAACACGTTTGCTTTGTATTTACATCTAAGCACTGTGTCCTGTTTGCTGCTGACTCAGGGTCTGTTCAGTATCTTGCTCCCTTAGAATCTCCTATGTATCTCCAAGTGTCCATTAAAATGCTCACGTGGGGCCCAGCTTGATCTCGTTATGAGAATGTCTGGGGACAACCATGAGAAATTTTGGGCTATATGTGAGCGGGAGCGTAGACGTATTGAGGTGGGAACAAACTGAGAATCACATCTTTAAACAAACCCAACACCTCAAGAAGGAGGAGGTCAAAGTAGGGGTCAATGGTGTGCTCCAACACTGACAACAAGCCACTGCATTTAATGTTAACATGGCTAAAAAGTCACCCCAAAAACAGAAAGAAAAAAAAAGTTAAGCATGTAAATGTTTACTGCATGTGCAGAGAACTCATTAAAAATATATAACAACTACAAATGTTTCACTAGGTTTGCTTTTGTTATCGATTGTACTTCAGACATTAAAAGACTACAGAGGAATATGGGGTGTGTTTTAGAGTGGGCGTGGCCTTACAGCAGACTTCATCACATTCAAGTACTAAAAGTTTAAGAGGTCATCTATAGTTGTGTGGTCAGGCCCTGGGAGACCACCATTAACCTGCTTTTTTCCTTCCTTGGTGTTTGACTTCATTTGTTACACTTTATCATACAGAATTACTTTCCACAGGATTTCTCATATACATTGTCATCAAATAAAATGCTTGCAAAATGCTTTTATTGAGATGAAATTGTGGTGAATGCTTTGGTTTTCGTCAAATGCAGATTAAACTTTCCCAATAATGGACTTGATCCAGGGCAGAAATGCAGATATTTTGGCAAAAATCTTTGGCTTCGTGGGTGCATCACACTTGTTCCTCTGACCGAAGGAAACAATGCCCATAGCAGTATTCCCACACACCAAAGGACCTCCAGAGTCTCCCTGTTAACAACACACAAATGAAACACATTACTATCCTCACTTTATTTACTTTGGTTTATTGTTCAGTGTTGGGTCAACACAATAATCCAGACTGACTGTGTTAATAATTTTCCCATACCCTGCAAGATCCTCCAGGATGAACTGCACATATCATCCTTGGGGTCAGAAGGTTCTCCCAGAGTTTCTTACATTTTTTTTTGGCCACGATAGTAATTTTGGTCTCCATAAGACGATTACTACCAGATTTGAAGGATCCTGTTCTTCCCCAGCCAGCTACACTGCAGACCGAGTTGGCCTTGATGCCCTCCTTTGTTTTAGGGATGGAGATCCATTTTACAGTTTTGCTCTTTTTGGCTTTTCCACGTAGCTGTGACAAGATAACCATTTGCCTAGTTAGAAACAAGACTGCACAGTGTAATGTGAAGCTCCACTCCTCCACTGCAACCCAGATTACACCCAGTTGACCTACACACTGCACTTTCAAACAGTTAGCTAAGATTAGATGCTATTCATGTTTCCTTACTGAACACTTGACATTGACTTTGTAAAATATAATAATTTAATAAAGTTATATTAATGTTTGTAGACCAAAAGTTCGCCAGCTAGAATGCTAGACGTTGTGCTATGGCCCACTAATAGCTCTTGTAACTGCACTGAAAGACCTTTAAATTATTTGTACTTAAATAATGATAACAGTACAACCCCAATACCAAAAAAGTTGGGAGGCTATGTAAAATGTAAATAAATGTAAATAAAAACAGAATGCAATGATTTGCAAATCTCATAGACCCTTATTTTATTATCAATAGAACATACAACACATATCAGATATTGAAAGTGAGACATTACCATTTCATGAAAAACATTAACTCATTTAGAACTTGATGGCAGCAACGCATCTCAAAAGAGTTGGGACAGGGCCACGTCTACCATTGTGTAGCCTCCCCTCTTCTTTTAACAACAGTCTGTAAACGTCTGGGAAGTGAGGAGACCAATTGGTGGAGTTTTAGGAGAGGAATGTTGTCCCATTCTTGTCTGATGTAGGATTCTAGCTGCTCATCAGTCCTGGGTCTTCTTTGCTGGATTTTTCGTTTTGTGATGCGCCAGATGTTTGTGAAATGTTGGTGAAAGGCAGGTCAGTTCAGCAGACTCTTCTTCTGCGAAGCCATGCTGTTGTGATGGATGCAGTATGTGGTTTAGCATTGTCTTGCTGAAATATGCAAGGCCTTCTCTGAAAGAGACATTGTCTGGATGGGAGCATCTGTTGTTCTAAAACCTCTATATACTGTTCAGCATTGATGGTGCCTTTCCAGATGTGTAAGCTGCCCACACTATAGGCACTAATGCAACCCCATACCATCAGAGATGCAGGCTTTTGAACTGTGAGCTGATAACAAGCTGGATGGTCCCTCTCCTCTTAAATCGGCAGAACACGGCGTCTGTGTCCAAAAAGAAATTTCATAGTCCAAAAGAATTTCCAATTTTGATTCATCTGACCACAGGACAATCTTCCATTTTGCCGCAATCTATTTTAAATGAGCTTTGGACAAGAGAAGATGGCAGCGTTTCTGGATCATGTTGACATATGGATTGCACGATGAACTGTGTTCACAGACAATGATTTCTGGAAGTGCTCCTGAGCCCATGCAGCGATTTCCAGTACAGAATCATACCTGTTTTCAGTGCCCCTGTCCCAATTCTTTTGAGATGTGTTGCTGCCATCAAGTTCTAAATGAGTTAATGTTTTTCAGGAAATGGTAAAATGTCTCACTTTCAACATCTGATATGTGTTCTGTGTTCTATTGTGAATAAAATATGGGTCGATGAGATTTGCAAATCATTGCATTCTCTTTTTATTTACATATATTTACATTTTACATAGCATTCCAACTTTCTTGGAATTGAGGTTTTACTTAATTTCTTGTTAAATTGTACCCTCATTGTCAGAAAAATAGCTGCACCCAGACGGAAGTGCTATTCACAAGGATGATAAAGGTTACCTGGACAATAAATGATTAAAATTTAGACTGATATGGGCAATATTTATTGAGCTACACATACAGAAGTCAGAGGTCTCGGCATGGAGTTGGTGAGGTTCCTCATGGTGTCCTGCGATAACCCATCCCATGCAGCTTGTTGTGGGTCACTGGTTTCACATAACATAACGTTGGGCTGTCGTTTGAATTGCCTTCGAACTCTTCTCTGAGGCACACTTCGCTTGCAAAGGATGCTACCAACACAGCAGCATGAGTCAGAATGGAAAGCATGCGCAACAGGACAACCTTATATAGTCAGTCAGGTACAACGATAAGGCCTGTCCATGCTTACGTGTTCACATGTGCGGCTGAGCGTGAAACTTCAATCATTCGCATGTCTCACGATGTCAAACCTACCCACCAAGTTTTATTCCTGTCAGTTGATTCCTTCTGGGTACAACTACTTTACCCACGATGAGTGTATTATTTTTGTGGGAAGAACAAAATGAATAAGACAAGTTATAAGAGACTATATACTACTGTGCAAAAGTTAGAGACCACCCTTCATTTAATACATTTCTAGCCTCTATAAGGAAGTGGAAAGTCAAAAGAAAATAATAGCTAAAAACAGGAATTTTCAAAACTGCAGTTTAAAAAATGAACCAAAGAAAATGGACTCTTAACAATGATGTAACCAGCAGATAAACAGCTTTTATCTTTGAGAGAAAAAGAGAAAATCAAGCTCCACTCTTGCTTCAAATCTGAAAAAACCCTTGAGTGTCTGTCCATCCTTCCACTGTGAGAAGGCAACTCAACTGAACTGACTGGCTATACCTGGTTGAGCCCTTGGGCAAGACTTAAACCCCACCAACCCACCACACACTGCTGCTGGTGACACTGTGCTGCTGGGTATAGTAAAGCAGCAAAAACATGAATTTCCCTTGAAGAATTGATAATAAAAATGTATAAAAATAGCACTGTGTCTGAAAGGATGTATTGTTGTCAACAAGCTGTTACTGAGCAAAGGAAATTTAACTGCATTTACTTGTATGATGTGATGCAGAAAATGCAGCCAACTTACAAGACTAAATTTTAATGTTTTACCTTCAAGATTTCTTTAAGAAGAATGGAAACCCTAATAAAGTTAAAGGGTGGAAGTGCTAAATGCAGAAAAAGAAAATGTTCATTAGTTGAATTTTGTGCCTTTACTCTTATTGGGAGTCTGTGACTCCTTAGCACCCCCAACCCCCCCAACTGAACTGCTAATGTTGCTCCTTCACTTAAACTAAACTAATTTCCCCCCTAAAACTAAATTTACACCACTGGTTCAGTTATTTACCTTCAGAAGCATGATATCATAGTCATGTGTGCCGGCGTTGTATTTTGGATGGGGATAGTAATTCTTTACTTTCATGCGGATGGAACCCTCTTTCTTGTCTGACAGATCATGAGCACCCAGCACAGCCGTAAGTCGTTTTTTCCTAAGAGAAACATTTTAGAGCTGAGTTGATGCACTTGGTAACAGGCCTTAATATATTACAACACCTATAAAGTTACACTAAATATAGAATTCACAAAAACAAAACTGAATAGTGAAGCACTCAAGTTTCAACTATATTCCTTCTCAAAATTCACTTTCACTTTCAGACTGTAAAATTATACATGCAGTGCAACTAGATTTTGCTTCATTGACCAGCTGTAACTCTGCATTTTTATTGGAGTTCATTAAAAGATGATTCCAAGCTGTGATTTATCCAAACAACTTGATAGATAAAAAGCTTACTTCTTCCAGCAGTGCGCAGCCGTCATGACGAATTCTTCAGACACAAGAAAACCACCACAGATGTGTTTTCCTTTTTTCTGAAGAGAAACCATGTAGGGTCTGGAGTGAGGTTTAGCCTCTGTGCCATTTATTATACCAACCTCAACACTGGCTGAGAGAGAAAGAAGGTGGAGGAGTTATAGTCATACTTTCTGCTTGTATTTATCTCTCAAAATTCACCTCAGTGTGAATTACTTAAAGTAAACTGATGTCGCGCTGTAATTCACTGCTTTTATTCTCAAGTTTGATTCATGTTTATGAAAATGTACAAACATTTATTGCAAAAAGTTGGGACAGTATGTGAAACAAAAACATCAAGCAGTGACAAGTAAATTCTGTTTGATTGGCATTATATTGAAGACAGCATAAAACACTTTTGTATCTTATGAACTTTGCAAATATACACTCATTCCATATTAGAAGCCCAAGACATTCCAGAAAAGTTCCTTTTAAAAACGCTTTTTGGGGACTAAATACAACAATTCATCCAGTTTTAAGGGCAAAATTTTAGGCCATTCTTTTGTTAGATAAGCTTTTACCTGCACAACTAATTGATACTTGCATTGTGTTTTTTGGAGAATATAATACTTTATATTTTAGGAGACTGCACGCTGCATAGTGTATTTCAATACTGTTAGAATTAGTGGAATACACTACATTCACCAGGAACCTTGTAAGGCTCAGCTGTTGAGCAATTACTGCTGAATTCATCAGTAATTTATGAGTTTTTATTCTAAGAAACCATAGTTGCTAAGTAAGTCTCTATGAGACTCAGTAGTTATTAGCTAATCATTAGTTCACTATCACCTACTGAGTAATCAACTAGTACTCCTTTGTAGTTAACAGTATTTACTGAAGTGTTAATGCAGCACTACTCATTCATTCCTGATTAGTTCCTGATTAGTTACTTATTGACCATGAAACAGTATTGTTGGAAGAATGGCATAAATGTTTGCTTTCAAACCTGGATGAATTGTATTTAGTCCCCAAAAAGCATTTTTAAAAGGAACGATTCTGGAACATGTTGGGCATCAAAAATGGAATGAGTGTATATTTACACAACAAACAAAAAAAACAAAAAACAACAACAATCATTAGTTCACTTGTACCTACTGAGTAATTAACTCCTTGGTAGTTAATAGTATACTAGTATAATAGTATACTTAATAGTTACTTAAGTGTTAATGCAGCACTACTTATTCACTCCTGATTAGTTCCTAATTAGTTATGTTTTCCTGATTAACTACTAAACAATATTGTAAAATGTTACTGATGTGCAAGTTACCTATGCCATGGGTGCTAATACACCCTCATACCATGACAGACCTTGGCTTTTGAACTTTACGCTGCTGACAATCTGGAATATCCTTTTCTTCTGTGGCCACGAGAACACAACGTTTATTTCCATAAACAATCTGAAAGGTTTGACTTGACAGACCAAAATACATGTTTTCACTGTGCATCTATTCATCTCAGTTGAGCTTGAGTCCAGAGAAGTTGGCAACATTTCTGGATGTTGTTGACATATGGCTTCCACTGTGCATAGTACGGTCTTCACTTGAATTTGCAGATGCAGTGACGAATGGTGTTTACTGACGACAGTTTGTCAGAGTGTTCCTGAGCCCATGTGGTGAAATTCATTTCAGAGACATACCAGTTTTTAATGCAGTGGAATGCAGTTTTTAGCTTTGTCCTCTATGCAGTTTTCTCCAGATTCCCAAGTCTTCTGATTACGTTATAAACCATAGAGCAGTGGTCTCCAACACTGGAACTGAAGAGCAACCTTTCTGCAGAGCCTAGTTCCAACCACACTTTGCAACACCTGCTCCAACTAATCAACCTCTTCCCAATTCCCTGATTTGTTGGATTAGATGTATTAGAGATAAGTAAGGGGCAGGGTAGCTTATCGCTTATGTACAGGTTGGAACTAAACTCTGCAGGAAGGTGGCTCTCCAGGACCAGGGTTGGTGACCACTGCTGTAGAGGGTGAAATACTTAAAAACCTTGCAATTGCTTGCTGAGAAACATTGTTCCCAAACTGCTGGATTATTCTTTTGGTAAACTGGTAGGCCTTGGGCCATCCTTACTAAATGGACTAGGCCTTTTTTAGATACTTGCTTGATACCCAAGTTTTCTACCTATTGCCTCAACTGTTTAAGATGATGTTTCACAATGTTCCTAGTCTTAAATTGGCCACGTTTCATCTTTTTTGGAAAGATTAGCAAGCATCAGTTCCAAAATGAGCATTTATTTACATAAAACAATGAGACTGATAAGGTGAAACATTCCTTACAGAAAAGTTACATATATTTCATATATGAAGTGGCAAAAACCACATTTACAAGCACTCACAGGTGTGTTACATGTGAACACGTTTTCCCATGATTGCATGTTTTTCCATACTTTTTCACATATAATAACATTTTTCATATTTCAATTTCATATTTTTAACATGTGATGTGTGCAAAAACACATGAAATTCATGTGACCTTTTTGTAAGGAACTATATATTTTATATATTTAGCATGCTAAATGAAATACAGGTCAACTGGCATTTACAAATCACGGGTTTCTGTTTTAATTTGCATTTCACATACCACCATTGGAGGTGCTCGGGACACATATGGCCACATAACATTTGTAGTGTAGACACTAAAGTGTCCTGATGTCTCCATGACAACATGGAAAGACTGCCTAAACAACTGTGTCACCACTGCGTGGTTTCTTTCTTCATTTCCTCTTTTGCTTGCTTATGAATTGTGGTAGCAATCCATGTAGTCTAAATGTTTGTTACAACTTGTAAATGTACATGAAAACAAGGATTTGCAGGACATTACTAGGTACATCTCATATCTCTAACTGTTCATCCTCATCAGCCTTATCAGATCACTTGATGGATATTAATGCCAAGTATTTACAAGGTCTAAGTGACACTCACCAGAGTGGCTCAGGTGTGGCAGCAGAGCAGCCATCAGGAGCAGAGAGATGAGAGTCATGGTGCTGTTCAGAGAGAGTGTGTTCTCCTTGAAGAAGAATAAGAATAAAAAGGAGAAGAATAAGAAGAAGTAGCTTTATCATGGTTTGATGTGCGTCTTTTCTTTAGAAATGAGAAGTGGAAGCTTACAGACCTCTGTGACATCAGTAGATTGGTCCATTTTTTACGTGGTTCAGAATCTCGACTTAATTGGTAATTATGTAGCTCTTGCAATATTAACTTAATGTTAACATGTTTATGTCTGCTTTTGTATGAAAGTGTGCACAGATGTCTTTGTACTGTGTATATGTGTACATACTGTATTCTGTAAAAGACCATCCTGTATTTATTTAATTTCTAACCAAAAACACCATAAAGTACAAGTTATTCATTTTCAATAGATATTTTTTGAAGATATTAAATGCAAGATCTATTTTTTTTTGGTCAAGGCCTTTTATTAAAGATTTCACAAATTACAAAAGATAAGCAGTCCCATACCCCAAACCTACCCACCATACCCACCCATCCCGCCCACCTTCCAGACCTACCTCAATTAGAGAAACTGTATAGATTCTTTACAGCTTTTATAAAGAACTGAAATATTAAACTTAAAAGAAATACATATTAGCAAGCTACATTTTCAGCTTCCATTTCATCCACATATGTTAAGAAAGGCTGCCAAATCCTATAAAATCTTTGTAAACATCCATGAAGAGAGTATCTCATCTTCTCCAACTTGAGGTATTGCATAACCTCTTTGATCCACTGAGAATAATTAGGGGGAAGAGGGTCATCTAAGCAATATTAATCACCTAGGCAGCAGAGTACAAAAGGCCCATATGTTGCACTTAGAATTATTCATTTGGGTATCTGGTGGTGCAACACCGAATAATGCAATATAAGGAGAGTAGCTTATTGGTTCTTCCAGAATTTTAGAGAGAGTATAAAAAATAGATTTCCAAAAGTGATATAATCTTGGGCATGTCCAAAACATTTGTAGTAAACTTGCAGGGTCTTGCTTGCACCTATCACAAGTAGAGTCCAAATCAGGTCTAATTTTGGACAGTCTAACCTTACACCAATGAAGTCGATGTACTACCTTGAACTGTATGACAAAATGCCTTGACAAATTGAAAATGAGTACATTCTTCGAAGAATTTTCTGCCAAGTCTCATCTGGAATTTGCTCATCCAAGTCCTCTTCCCACCTGCTCTTAAGTCATCTAAAGCTGACAAATTATGAGAGATGAGAAACGGATATATCCTGCCAATACACTGCTTAACACCATTCCCGAGTTCGAAGATAGAGTCCATCAATGACGTGGGACGGTAAAGAGGAAAACAGTCAAAATGTGAGGCTACAAAGCTCCGAAGCTGTAAGTATCTAAAAAATGTGATCACCAGTTGTTCGAAGGATGCAAAGTTATTGTCTATATAAAGGTCTTGTAGTGATGAGACCCCATTGTTAGACCAGATATTAAATGCTCCATCTGATGTTGAGGGGATAAATATGTGATTTTTAGCTATGGGGTGAATAATGAGGGGTTGTTGAGTGTAAATGACCACCTAAATTGGGTCAAAATTTTTACTGATTGTGAAACAGTGGGGCTATTGCTGTAACAAGAAATAGGCTTTTCCAATGGGAGTTTAGAGCACAGTAAGACAGATACAGAGGTGGAATTACAAGCTGAGCTTTCTAACATTAACCACTTGGGGGTATCTAAGCCCTCTGTATCCTTCATCCAATACATCAGCACATTGATATTCGCAGCCCAATAACAGAAACGAAGATTTGGGAGTGCCATACCACCCACAGAACGTGGTTTCTGCAATATGCATTTCCGTATGTGAGGGAGTTTATTATTCCAGAAGAAAGTTGACATCAGTGTATCTATGAATCTGAAGAAAGATTTTGTGATACTTTGAGATACATATAAAACTCTGGGGACCACATTCATCTTAATTGTATTAATCCTTCCACAAAGAGAGAGGGGCAGCAGATTCCAACATTTAATGTCTGTTTCAAGCAAGATATCAAGGGTAGAACGTTGGTCTTGTAAAGATCTTTACAGTTATGTGTGATCCAGATACCCAGATATTTGAATTTCTCATTGAGTTGAATTAAAAGAAATATTCTTAGCAGACTCGTTGATTGGCATCAGTTCACTTTTAGAAAGATTTATTTTGTAGCCAGAGAGTTTGCCGAATTTACTAAACAAATCTGGCAGTCTGGGTAGGCTTGACAGGGGTCCGATATATAGAGCAATAATTCATCTGAATAAAGTGATAATTTGTGCTCCTGACCTCGATTAATTCCTTTAATATGCCTATTTTGTTGCAGAGCTATTGCAAGTGGTTTGATGACTAGGAACAAGGATGGAGACAGTGGACACCCTTGTCTCATACCATGCTGTAATTTAAAATAAGTATAGTTTGTTATTCGTACGCACAGCAGCTAATGGGGAAGAATACAGAGTCTTAATATGAGCTATAAATTTTGGGTTAAAACCAAACTTTTCAAGGGTATAAAAAGATAAGCCCATTCCACCCTGTCAAAAGCTTTTTCCGCATCAAGTGACAGTAAAATCTCAGCGGTAGTGGGTGAAGATGGATTAAAAAGAATATTTAAAACACGTCTTATGTTAAAAAATGAGTACCTGTTCTTCATAAAGCTTGTTTGGTCTGTAGAAATGATGGAAGGAAGAGATACTTCGAGGCGGCGGGCTAAGAGTTTTGCAAGGATCTTTACATCTGTGATCAGGAGTGACACTGGGTGATATGAAGTACATGGCAGAGTATTCTTGTCTTTCTTTAAGATGAGTGAAACAGTTGCTTTGTGCATAGTTGGAGGAAGGGATTGAGATGCCAGCGATTCCTGGAACACAGAGAGAAGAAGTGGGGCAAGTTGTTCTGAAAGAATTCAGATGGATAGCTGTCCGGTCCCGGCGATCTACCACTTTGCATACTTCTAATCGATTCTATAATCTCTGCTATTGAAATATCACTTTCTAATTCCGCAGCTAAATTTGTCAATTCCAGGGATGTCAAGATTATGAAAAAAATGCTCTCACATGGTTTCATCATCTGGTGGCTCTGATGTGTACAGGGAGGAATAGTAACAGTGGAAGCATGAACTTATTTTTCAATGGTCGGTATGTTTTAAACCTTGTTCATCACTTATTTCAGAGATATATTGATTGGCGGTCCTTCGATGTAATTGATGTGCTAAAATTTGAGGTTTTCCGTCTGACGTGCCGAGAGAAGGTCAAATTCCATTTTAAGTATCAAATGTTGTTTAAGTATGTCATCAGCAGGCGAATGACTGTATACTGTATCCAGCTTCAAAATATCATGTTACTGCCTGAGGTGTTCATTTTCCACTTTCTTACACATTGCACAGTATGAAATAATCTGGCCCCTTAAATATGCTTTAACTCCTCCCATACGATTGAAGACCACACCCCAGGGGTCTGATTATGGGTGAGAAAAAATTCAATCTCCAATTTTATGAAATTTACAAACGTTCTTCGGAAAGAAAAAGGGGGTTGAGCCTCCATGGGCAGTAATTAGATACTGCACCCGGAATGCCCATCCTCATCAAAAGGGGGCTATGGTCTGAAATGACTATGGATTGATATTCAGAGTCAGTTACCATGGGAGAAGCTTTTTATCTATAAAAAAAAATAGTCTATTCGTGAGAACATCTTGTGGACCGGGGAAAAGAAAGAGTAACTTTTAGAGATGGGATTGCAGAATTTGCCATACATCCGACACGCCATATATCTTAAGAAAGAATTGAATTGATTGGGCCGATATCAACTTATATGCCGCTATAGAGGGACTGCAGTCTAAGCCAGGAGAAAGTATATAATTTATGTCCCCGCCTAAAATGAGATGATGTGAATCCATGTTTGTAAGCCTAGAGAAAAGTTTAATAAAAAAGGTCTTGTCGTCCATGTTTGGGGCATAGATGTTAGCTAAAATAATTGGAAATCCATATAGCTGACCAACTACAATAACATAGCGCCTTGTGTGATCAGATTCTATGCTTGACAGTGTAAATGGAACGTTCTTACTAATAAGGATAGTTACCCCTCTGGCTTTGGAACCAAATTAGAATGATATGCTTGTCCTATCCATCCTCCCCTTAATCTGGACTGGTCAGTGGTATGGAGGTGGGTCTCTTGGAGAACAGCAGTATCAGTTTTGAGATGTTTAAGATGTGTGAGCACCTTTTTGCGTTTCACTGGATGGTTTAAAGACTTGACATTCCAGCTCACAAAGTTAACCAGGCAACCACTGGATCCTCCTAAATTATTTACATCCACCATTAGGATGTATGACTATGCCCCTCAAGAGAGAAGGAAGAGAAAAAAAAATGAACCGAAATAAATAAATAAATACATAAGTAGCCACAGGAACAAACCACATCATAAATCTGAAGATACATAAAACAATTATCAAGGTCATCAAGTATACATAGTAGGTCTGATAGGTCCCCAACCCCTGTCACCTAACTGAACATGGTGACTATAACAACCCTCACAAAACAGTCCACACATAATGTAATAAAGGTACAATTTGGTGTCCAACAGGTTGGCCCCCGCCAAACCCCCCATGGTTAGAAAAGTGGTAGCAGAAAAACAAGGGGCATCACAACATTTTCACTTTCATTAAAGCCAATAGAGCAAGTAAGAGCAGTACAACAGATAAAGAAATTTGTATTCCATACAACCTGTCGATGGTCCTTACAGACAATGTCCTCTGCTGAAGTAAAGAAAGGATAGGCTGAGACAGGCAGAGCTACATGAATCAGATTGTGAAGTTAGGATTCAGCCTTTGCTGCTGTAATGATATTTTTCGCGTGTGCGCTTGCTTTCGCCGGATCCACAAATTCCTTGACGTCTCCATTGTGCGAGATGCGTAGTCGAGCTGTGAATAATATACCATAGTGAATGTCACATCAGCCTCGAAGAAGATTCCTGACATCACTGAACGCAGCACGAACCCTGGCCACACTCGCAGTATAGTTAGGGAAGATGGCAATCTGTTCTCCTTTGTAGTGAA